CAGCCACACCTGCTGCCGCCATGTGCAGCCCTGATGGGCAAGCCTGGAGCCGGTGCGGTGCCCAGGCTGGCAAGGGGGCAGGTTACAAGCTGATGCTGAGCGTGGGGAAACAGTTCTGCACCCGCTCCGTGCTGCAGCCACTCGCAGCGGGATGTGAGCAGCTGCAGCAGGGAGCACTGGGCACGGAGCAAGGAAGGGCCCACTTTTCCCCCCATGCTCTTCCCCCCTCTGCCTTTACCTGAGGTTCTGGCACGGTGCAGTGATACTTTCCCAGGCCAGAAGCCCCTGCTGAGACTTCCAGCTGAGGGGCAGGCCCTGCTATCGAAGGAGCCCTCCATGGCTTCTCCTGGGTCCTACCGCCCTTGGTTCCTGTCATCTTTGACAGGAACCAAGGCCAGATACATCTTAATTTTCTAAATGTTTTTAGGGGCACCAGGGGCCGGATCTGGCCCACAGGCCATATTTTGCTCACCCCTGGTCTAGGAGAAAAAAGACAGACTTAGAAGGGTATTTGTGAGACCATTCCCCCTTCTTTAGAGATGCTTGCAATCTTCATTGTTCTTTAAAAGAATATTTTAATGCAATACAACTCAGAAAACTGAATCATGAGATGGAAGAATCACTTGATTAGGGAACCTGTTTTAAAAGCAAACCCTTTTCTTAGAACGAAGAAAGAACAGAGTCAGAATGCGATAACATGCACTGTCATTATCAGTAATACTACCTAGGAAGCCCGTAAATCATTTAAACACACAAAACATTTTTGGTTTCACCTTGTCCAAATAACATGTTTAATTAAATCAGAACTATATTGTATGGGACCTATGGAGAGACTGATGCTATGTGGTGTAAATGAGTGGGATCCAACCTTTTTTTGGTAGGTGTGCCACAAATTACCCAAGCACCCTCCTTAAGTGTCACTCCAGTCCCTTTCTCTGCCCAGTGTGCTGCTCTGGTTTCTTCTCCCTGCCCTGGGCTCGGTGCCCAATCTTCAACTCTGTTTCCTGCTTCTTCCCTTTTGGTCTCTGTCCAATCTGCTGCTCTGCTTTCTGCTCCTTGCCCTGTCTGTCACTGCGCAGTCTCCCTAATCTGAGTGCCACACATAGGCTACCCATGCCACTTGTGTCAACCCCCAATGCAGATAGAAAACAGAGACTCCCTCCACAAGCAGTGGCAGTTAATTTACCGATGATGGCAAACCAAAAATCAATGGTGATGGGAAGAAAGAACAAGAACACACGTGTTCTAGTTCTACATGTACCACTGAATGCCACTATGACCGTAAGGCACGTGTGGCCAGTATGTGGCCCACAAAACACCTTTACCCAGCCCACTAGTACTCCAGTGGGCTACCAAGGTTGGTGGCATGGCCTAATGCAAAATTTGGGGTCTCTAGACCCGTGCTGCTGCCTAGCCCTGGACCTGTGCTACCATCTGAACACTTCCCAATGCTTCCCTCCCAACATGGCCCCACCACAGTTGCTGCTGGCTCTGCAAACATGGCGCAGGAAGAGGCCCCAAAGTCCAGATCCAGTCTGAGGTGAACCTGACCCTCCTGTCTTAAGGAGAATCACCTCCCTTTGCCTTTGGAAAAATGAAAATAGCAACATCATAGGGAGGGTCTGAAACTTGGTGTTTGTTTGAATGACTTTAAAAGCCTGAATTTATAAAGTTCTGAAGAAATGCAGTCTCACTATCACAAGACTGGGAAATCAAACTTCACTGAGAACCAAGGCCACTGCTCCCTCCCAAAGACCCAAGTTACAGACAAAACATTATACCTTGCTGAGTAAAAGGAGCAGAAAGCTTTTGGAGGGTATTCAAGAAGACTATGCAGGACTCGAGTTTCTTTGATGACTCAGGAAAATGAAGATGTTCTTACCTATCCCTAGCCTTCGGTAGGGTGCCAGGCATCCAAGTGTCATGATGTACAGTCTCTTCTGGTTCTGAGAGTGATCCACTCTACAGCACACTGCACCCACTGCAATATCATTGAAGTATGCTGCCAGGGAGGGAGACAGCAAGTCTTGGTCAATTAGAAATATCAATCCATACCAGTGTTCTCTCTCATTTCAGTCTTTCTTCCCTTTTCTTTTCCCACTGGCAATTTCCCCTCCTTTTCAGAAGCTCACCTGTATATGAGTGGGTACATTCTTACTTAAAATAAAATGAAGCAATGAAAAGGCTGAAGTCACATATTCAATTAATTCCACCCATCCAACTGCACCCCTCCAAAAGTAACTGAGTAATCATGGCAAAACAGCTGACGCCTTCTGAGTGAGGCCTGAATCATGTCCTTGCACAGAGGCGTAAGTTTAATAGCAATCTAGACAATAAACAATGTAAGGTAGCAAGATCCCAGTGTACAACTCCATGAGTTTCCTGTGGTAATGAAAAAACACACCTGTTTCAAGTAAAGGGAGACCTTGTTTAAATTACAACATTCCAGATAGGGGCTCTGGCTTCTGTAGGCCATGCCAAGCTAGGTATAATTTTCCTCACTTTTCATAACGAAGCAGAAGAATCTAGTATTAAAATCAACAAGAAGAGCAAACAAACTGTTCTACCACCCAGATGAAAACCACTGACAAAACTATCGTACCTAATTTGGCTAGTTCGCCAACCTCCAGCACATCCTTGTAGAACTTGTCATTGTAGCTGACAGGAAAAATGACCTGGTTTAACCTCTTCAGCTGCTTAATGTTATGTGGCGTCACGTCTCCCAGCTCAATCCGGCTACTGGAACAAACCAAAACATGCTTAATGCCTCTATAAAGACGCAAGCATTTTTATGAATAGAAAAAAATCTTTAAATGGTTGTTTTAGTTCTACCTAGAGATGAGTCAAACAAGTCAAATAACAAGTTCAATAGCTATCTGAATCACTGACGTGACTTGCAAGTACACAGCTCCTATTCTGTCTTTGACTGGCAACTACTTTAATGGCAAGATCCCAATCAATACCATAAGCCCACAAAATGTCTAGCCTAAAGGCTGAGCAAGTGTACCTTGTGACCAAAACCTTTTTAAAAATCTCCCCCAACTATATAGCTGCCCAATAAAGATGTCATCCAAAAAAAATTCCTTCCCACCCTAAAAGGCAATTATCCACAATATTATTTGTGCATGGTTGTGAGAGACTTTGGATGAGAGAAATGATGTGACAGGAAAATAGCAGTCCTGGTAGCTAAACTGCCCCAGCTGGCAAACCCTTCTCCCACTTAACTTTTACTTTTCATTTATTAACATTGTTCCAGACTCAAGTCTCTTCTCCCCTTCCTTCCCCACCCTCCAACCCCCATTTGATTTTCCCACCTGTTTACTTGAAAGCAGAAGCTTCTCAACCATGAAGGACTAACAAAATAGCTCTGAGTTTGGACCATTCCCAAGAGGAATCAAAACAAATATGCAAAGGTAAGTAATTTATTAATAGACATCTTTTCCTGAAAACCGTGAGAGATCTTGCCCTTCACAGCCCAGCAGGCCAGACCCATGGCAAGGTGCCCCTTCCCCACCCAGCAGCAGTGGTGGTGTAGAGTTGTGTCCCCCACTGCTGCAAGGTGGGCAGGGGGTGCCTCGCCATGGCAGCACAGCTGGTGTGGGCCTCCTGGCAGCAGCACCTGGCCTCCCTGCCTCACCACAGCTATCCCCACAGGGTAGTAGGGTGGGGAGCCCCAAGCCCCCAGCAAGCAGCCTGCATCTGCCCCTTCCCCGTACACAAGTCTAGGGGGCATATGCCCCGCCATGCCTCCCTCCCAGGAGTGCATGCAGCATCAGGGAGCTGCCCCCCCCCCGTGGCTGCACATTCCCACCCAAGCCCCAGCAATGCCCTACTCTGCAGCCTCCATGGTGAGGGAGGAAGACAGTAATCTCCTCTCCCACCTCATTATACACTTACCTAGAGGGAGCTGCTACCCAAGCTGCCTGGCTGCCACATGCGTGTGTGCATGTGCACATGAACATGGAACCCTCCGTCTCCAATCGCCCTCCTCCCATTCCCCCCAGTCCCAAGCAGTCCCTTGCAGGCTTGAACTCTGCCAGCCTGCAAGGGGAAACTCCCATTTCCCACATTTTTCTCCCTGGCTTTAACAAACTACAGGAGGCAATCTTTACTTTCTTTCTTAACAGGATGTTACATGGGCCAGAGCAGTGTACTGATTGGGCCACAGGTTAAGAACCACTGCTCTAGATCATGGTGCAAGAGTTAAGAGGTCTAGTCAGATGCCCAATTAATCCATTTGTGCCTGACAAGCCCAATTTGAGAGCGACACAGCTTGTTACAAGATTCACAGATCCATACGTAGTCCAAGTTGGAATCCAAACTTATGGGGTTCACTGCTAGAGATTTTGGGGGCTGATACCGATAGCCAATTTTTAAGGAGGCATATCAGCTGATACCAATCAGATTTCCAATACAGCTGCATCCAGCTGGTAAGTCTGTTATGGTGGAAGAGGAGGGAAGGGGCGTGGGTGGGACAGAGCTGTGTTTTGTTTGGGGCGGGGGGGCATGTGCCCCTGGATCTGCACAGGGTGGGACAAGGCTGGCTGCAGCTGCAGGCTGGGGCTGCGCCGGGATCGGGCAGCAGCAGCGCTAAGAGGGGGGCTACAGAGTATTTTGGGATGGCCGCAGGCCGGCCCCCCCTCCCCCCATAGGCCCTCTCCTAGCACTGCCGCCACCCAGTCCAGTGCCTGCTAGGAAGACCCCAGCACAGCCCTGGACCCAGCCCACAGCTGCAGCCCACCCTGCCTAGATCTGGGGGGCACCTCCCCACACCCATCCTGGGTGTGCAGAGGCAGAAGCGCCCCCCCCACTCCACCCCCAGACAAGCCGCGGCTGTGTCCTATGTCCCAGCCCCACTCCCTCCCTCACAGCAGGGGGCATTGATATAATTTTGCAGATATCAAGGTACCACCATAGAAGGCAAGCCTGCTTTCTAGAGCTCTCGCAAATCTCACCATACATAATATTCTTGGGGATATGGTCTTCTCCCATTCTTCCCCAGATCTGGCCGATCTATTGCAACCTTTTCTTATTGATAGTGATTTCTAAGTGCATCAGTCCTGCATGCTCCAGTACCTCTGTGTACGGTATTTTGCATTCCCACTTTATTTTCAGGATTTTATACAGATATCTCGTATAGAAGCTGTTCAGTGTCTTGATATGCCTAGCATATGTAGTCCACATTTCTGAACCATAAAGCAGGGATAACAGCACACAAGTATCATAGATTCAATCATATATATTACACACACATGCTGTGAAAGGACATGCACAAAGCAGCATACAAGGAGGAGAGAAAAATCTGAATACCAAAGACAGGAGGGAGAAAAAGATAGACAAACAAGCAGTAAACCTACAGGAACAAAGGAGTCCCAAAAGCTAATCCAGGTAACGGGATAAGAATCCATAGTCCACATTTAAATCACATTTAACACAATTTAGTCTACGGGTGATTACTTGTTCAATTTCCTGTTCAAATGATTTTTTAAAAGTTTGTTCCTAAGAACAGCCATGTTCAGACCAGTGATGGAGCATCCAGGGCTATTTTTATACAACAGGATAAGGGGAGTGCCACTGTTTTCATGGAAAAACAGCACATATATATATTTCTGCTTCAACCTCCTGGGAGCCCAGGTCAAACAATCTACAATAGGCTTCTTCTGTCTGTCTGGAGCACTCTGATTGGTGTTTTTGGCAACCAATCACAATGCTTACTGAAATAACCTGTGCGCTCCGGAAAGACAGAATAAGTGTTATTATTGCAGATCCTGAGGCAGTTCAAGCAGACATAGAGGCAAGTCAGAGCTAGCATGAAGCACTGGGGCTCCCACCACAGAGCAGGTAGGCTCCGCTGAAGGAAAAAAGTGGTGAGGGGCCAGATCCTTTTTTGTTTCTACACCCTACCCACCTCTCCTGTGGCCGGGGGGGGGGCGCGGCGGGCCCCAGTGCTTCCCTCCGCGGTGATAGTGCCCCCCTGGAACAGCAAGGTGCCAGTGGGTGGGTACTGCCCAGGGGGTACCACCACTGCAGAAGGATGGACTGGGATCTCCTGCAACTCAGGGGCTGTGCAACTTGCCAGCAGCTTGCTCCCCAGCCGCAGAAGACAGGCAGGTTCTAGGAAAAAAAAGAAATAAAAAGATCAGGCCCCTTGCCGTTCTCCCCACCCCAGCAAAGCCTGCCCATGTAAGCTGCTGCTGGGTTGTGCAGCCTGAGCTGCTGGGTTGGGGGGGCAGTGCTTCCATGGTGGCAGCAGTGCCCCCCAGGTGGGGTGCTAGCTGCATGGGTGCAGCCCCAGCTCACAGGCAGCACCCACTGATCAAATGGTGCACGGGGTGCTGGAAGCCCGGGCATGTTCAGGGAAGCTCCAGTTTAGTGGGCTTCTAGCTCCCCATGCACCATCCCCACCACTTTCTGTTGCCTGGGACCACCCAGGAATGGACTAGCTACCCCTGGAAGGTTGGGGGGCAACTGGGTGTGCTGGCAGCCAGAGAAGGCAGTGCGGACGCTGCACAGGGCACTGGAAGCCCTCCAAGCCCAAGTTTCCCCAGGCATGCCTGGGCTTCCAGCACCCTGTGCACCATTCCCACCGCCTTCTCTGGATAGGGCCCCTGTACACATGAGGAATATTGCTGTAATGTTACATAGCAAACAAATACATGGGATGTGTCTTAGCTGGTTACGTAAAAAAGTCATTTAAAATTAAAATATGCTGCCGAACACGTACACTATTACAAAATTTAACTGTAACATGCTGCTGAACGTGTATGCTGTTACACAACTGTTAAAAAGGGCAATTTCAATTAAACTACTAAAGGGGACAATTTCATCATGTGTACAAGGGGCCTCTTATTCTATGATTATGAACAAGTCACAAGGTCAGACTTTCACAAAATATGTATTTACAGGCCAGTCGCATCATACGCACATTTAACTTGCGCGAATTCAACTATACCCAGGGTGGGAGGGGGGGCAGGGCTTGAGTTGGCGGCGGCAGCGGGAGGTTTTGGAGGCAGAGGCAGTCACCGCTGGCAGAAAGGTGGTGGCCGGGCAGAACGCAACCATCCCCACCACTACCCCACGCTGCACTGCTGCCACCAGCCACACAGCTCTCAGCACAGCTCTGCGGCAGCGGGGGGAGGTTTTGGAGGCAGAGGCAGTCACCGCTAGTCAAATCGCTGGCACTGTAATATGCTATTTGACTATAAGTGATTTTTGCCTTACATGCTGACTTCAGAACCTAACCCCTGCGCAAGATGCGACTCCACTGTACTAGCAAATTGCCTGTTAAAAATGATGACCTACACCCCCAGCCACCACTGCATCGGGCCCCACTCCCCTCCCTCCACCCGCACCAGCCCATTCCTCCCCTCCCTGCCCCATGTTGGGCCCGCTCCTTCCTTTCCCCCACCCCTCTGCCACCACTTTGGGCCTGTTTCTTTGCTCTCCCCTTCCCTCCCCATGTCCTGCCCCAACCCACTCCTCCCTTCCCCCTCCCCCAGTTGCATCCAGCCCAAGGCCACTCCTCCCCTCCTCCACTTGGGGTCCCAGCCCACTCCACCCACTCCCACCTCCAAAGGGGCAGGTAGCCCCCCACCCCACCCCACCCCCTTTGTCTTAGGAGTGCTCTGCTGTGCCAACACTGCCTGCTGTCTGTCACGCTTTATTCACACAGACAGCCAGACAGAGTGCAAATAAAGCATTACAGACAGACAGACTAAGGCTTTTATATATGTAGC